CCTCTAAGTTTTGGCGATATAGTGGGACTCATAGAGCCTTGCGTGTTTAAGCTCATGCCTGACAAACAGGACACCTATTTCATTCTATGAAAGTATATCCTATTCAGTCCCTTTAGTATTTCTAAATATCTTTAGTAGCTCTAATTTATGAGCCCACAAATCGATACTGAATATTCATTAAGGCCGTAAAACCCGTAAGGTTCAACGATAACATTGGTTTAAAAAATTCACAGCTTTTGGCTAAATTACTGTAATACTTTCACACATATCATTGCATTCATATAAAACTGCATAAAGGTATATTGTGTTATTTAATTACTTTAAAAAAGAAATTGAAAAAAATTTCGATATCCGGCTAAGACTAAAGTGTACCTATATGATAATATTAATATTAATCCATAATGATAATATATATGATAATATTAATGCATAAATCAAACAATAAAATTAGTATATTCTATTTGTGTGTATGTCTGCAAACTGATTTTATTATATATACTATTGCCGGGAAATCTATTGGTAATTTAGTGCTAATTTCACTTTGGATTGCTAAATCGCTAGTAAAATGTTTAACACTTAAGATTAATTTATAACACTCTAAATATTTTTTCAAAGTAGCAAAATTCTCCTAAAATTAACAGCTGTTTTATATAACTTGACAAATAAAGTGTGATTTGACTCGATACATATGTTCATGAATAATTCAAATGTCTACTAACACTACTAAAAAAATGTTAGATTACTCTAAATATCTGTGATCGGGTAACAAAATTCCACAGATCGAGAGCAAGTCTAAGTTTATCAATTGAAAACACCAAACACCATAGACGAAAAAGATACACATATTGTGATTTATTACTCTGAACACAATCTGAACATATAATACACAATCCGGATTATGGAAGTCTATGCGTAGTTTACAATTTATTTATTCATTATTTCATTCAATGTTTCTATTTAAAGTTTTACGAGATGCTGTTATTCCATGTATGCGTTCTAAAACCTTTCTAAACAGTTATCACCAATAGAAGTTTTGGTTTGGCTGAGGCAGAAATAGGTTTCCATAAATATTTTTAATAATTATTATAAAAATGTGAACAGTGTTTGCTTAGTGCTTATATTTCATGAAACGGAATATAATTATTGCAAAGCGCAGAATATTAAATATTTTTCTAATTGTTTATTAACAACATTTCTATATGCATCTTCCTAGATTATTATCAATTAAAAATACTAGTATAATCACTTGGTAAGCTAAGCACTGCCTCCCCACCCAACATCTCTCCCCCATTTTTAATCAAATTAAAATGCACAAATTCGCCAGAGTCAGTCGACCTCAGATATATGACGTTGTTACTCTTGAAGTAAAATGTCTACATGAAATCATTTCTAGCACTCATCGCTTATGACTGCTTGTTAATGCGCTGCACTTCCAATCCGGCATAGGTTTTCCAAAGAACATGTTTGCAAAGCTTGGAATTTCCCACATTAGAATGCGAATTCTCTGTGCAAATCGTTTTTAAGTAAAAAATTGGAAATTCTCTTTGAAGTTTTGTAAGTTAAGTATAAGTTAAGTATAAAATGAAATTATTATTAAGACGAGGAAACAATTGCGATTCGAACATGTTGGAAGCAAGGTTCTACTCAAGCAAGCAATTGCTAACGGCAGCTTTATTGGTCTTGTGTTCACTCGGTTAGAACAATTTTTGTTATTTATTTTCCAGTATATAAATAGTTCTTATTTATACATCAATTAATATTTTAGACGTCATTGTTTGCAGTGGATATGGTGGTAATTATGGTGGTAACTATGGTGGCAACTATGGTGGTGGAGCGTATAGCGGTGCAACGGCAAGTGCAAGTGCTTCGGCTGGTGCAGGCGGTTTTTCTTCGGGAGGTGACGAAGGCGGAGTAGGAGATTTTGGTGGTTTTGGACCAAGCGGTGGCTTTGGTGTTGGAGGTTGGGGACAAAATAAACCTCAAGCAAGCGCGCCAGGTATCAATGCTGGTAATCCATTTTTAACACAAGCTGCAGATGGTGGTGCAGGAGGTAGTGGGCTTAAAGTTTCACTACAAAAACACATTCAAGTTGGTGATGGAGTTACGCCTGTAATTCATGGAATTGTTGGTGGAATACTGGGTGGAGTAGAAAAAGTAAGAGATGCATTAGGTAGAACAGCGCTTGGTGGTGCAGGCAGAGGAAGAGGTGATGCGAGTGGTGTGACTGTAGGCCATAACGGTGTCAATCCAAATGATCTAAGTATTACTGTAGGCGGAACTGGATTACATTCATCTAATGCTGGTAATGGTGGGGGAAGAGGTCCTGTAACTTTTTCCACACTACTGGGTGGTAAACCAAATGGATCACCTACTTCAGCTTTTGCAAATGCTGCTGCAAGTGCTGGGGCTAATGCAGGCTCTGGAGGTGGTGGCTTTGGTGGTGCCGATAGAGATTGTTGTGGTGGCACTGTAATTATTGGAGGAGTTGAAAACAAACAACCTGGTATATATAAATAATTTATGAGTATTTGTTATAATATTTCTCAACTATTAATATTGCCATTTCAGAAAGAAAACCAATATTTCCCAGTGGCAATGTTTCGCCGCAGTATGTTCCACCATTAAATCTGAACGAACCGGCAACTCAACAAGGTCCTTTGGGTCATTCTCGTCCAGGCTCAATTGGCTTTGGAGCAGAAAATAATGTAGGTGCAGCAACTCCTAACGTTCATAAAGGTCCTACCCCTAATCAGCAAGGCGGTGGATTAATATTGAATAATAATCCAGCTACTCCCATAGGCACTGGTGGCAGTAGTGGACCTGTTGTTTTTGGTGGCGCGAGTGGGTTTGCAGGTTCCGGCGCTGATGGAAGTACAGGGTTAGTAGTAGGCCATAGTCCTGGTTTACCAAGTGGTGCAATTAATATAGGTCAACCAAATGTTGGAGGTAGCCCAGATTTTCATGCTACTTTAATTCCTGGAAACGTAATTGGTAGCTATGATATAACCGTTCAAGAAACGTCAGGTGATGGAAATGGTTTACCGAATAATAAAATTCCAACCGCTTCTTCTGGATTTACCGGGCCAGGTTTAACTGGAAATGTTGAAGGTATAGGTGAAGTTGGTGGTTTAGGTGGTGGCTTAAGTGGCGGCTTTAATGGTGGCTTAGGTGGTGGCTTAGGTGGTGGCTTGGGTGGTAGCTTAGGTGGCGGCTTAAGTGGTTCACCTGGATCAACGTCTAATACAGGATCACCAGGATCAAATGATTTCGTAACATCAGTAGACTGTACAGATGGAGTTTGTAAAACTCACAGTGGTGTTGGAGGACCTGCAGGCAGTTTTGCAAGTGCTTTTGCAGGAGCTGGGGCAAGTGCTAGTGCCGGTGCCGGTGGAGGCGGTATTGGTGGTGGTATCATTCCTGGTTCATTTCAAGAATCCCCTGACCAATTAGGCACATCAGCTTGTGGACCAGGAAAGTGTGGCAGTGGAACTCCGTCATTTGGTCCGGGTTCCTATGGAGGTCAAGGGGGTTATGGTGGTCATGGTGGTTTTAATGGGCAGGGAGGCCAAAGCAGTTATAAAACTCATAATACACATTCCAGTTATAGCAGCGCTTATGCCAGTTCTTATGCCACATCCTCAGTGAACAGAAAGAATGGATATTAAAATCATTTATCAGCACACATAACAGTAACCAACATTAGTTTAAGGAAATTTTGTAATATAAGTACTTTATTTAGTGTTTACTTACATGTATGAAATTTAAATCTTTTCTGTACAAATATTAAAAATATATCTAACTTAAGCTAAATATAGAATAAATGTTACTAAATGCCATTTAATTACTACCTATAGAATGCGTTTAAAATTTCAATTTAATATTGCAATCATGTTAGAAACAATGCCAATACATGTAATTAATTGTGTTTACATTGGTCATGTACGATGAAGGTATGTCTAGAACATATGTCATGGAAAACAGTGCCAAGGAAGTCGTGCATTTGCTTATGACATTAGACCACAACTCTTGTTGATTGGATGGGAAAACACAACACAATACAAGGCTGTCAATCGACATTAAGTTACATTTCGCAGTCATGTTTTCGATGGAAGCTTTGTGTTCACATCCATTAGTCGTGATAAATTTTTCTTTAAAAATTTGTAGTAACGAGTTTGTGCAGTCACCATGGACAGAGACATATTTCAATTTTGCAAGTTACCATCTATTAATATTATTAAGCCCCTCAATACAAGGCTACTTAATGTGAAAAAGAATACAATTCGGTCAA